AGCTGAGACACTAACAAGTTCTACCACCCCGGGTCGTGATGGACCTGGAGACAACAGCAATTAAGAAGTAGTTCCAGGCTTCTCAAAGTCACGAATGTCTCGATCAGAGGCCTTGATGCGGGATGTAATTAATTGTCATACAGTGGATTAAGACACACACACACAGCTAGTTCTTTATTATTATTATTATTATTATTATTATTATTATTATTATTATGTTCTGTAGTCTACACTGAGGTCTCCCTAGATTAATATGTTCCTTGAATTATCTCTACCAGTCTCAGAATAGTAATTCTCTCTCACACACTCTCACACTCCCGCCTATACATATATATATATATATATATATATATATATATATATATATATTGATAATATTAGTTTGTCAATACACACACACACATATATATATATATATATATATATATATATATATATATATATATATGAAACCAGTGCTTTCATATAAATATAAATAACGCAAATCAGTTTTACACCCCCGATATGGAATTTAATTTTTCAAATTGTCTTATATTGACCCACGTACACACACATGCACACACATGCACACGCAGACACACGTACACGAAGGCACACACACATATATATATATATATATATATATAAATATATATATATATATATATATATATATATATATATATATATATATATATATATATATGTGTGTGTGTGTGTAAGTTTACCATGAGAGTAACATTGATAAGTATGATAGGTAGATTATTTTTACTACTGCCTTGGGATTTTTATGCTTTTGTTCGCCTCTTTCGCCATGTAACTCCCCAGTTTGCCTTCCTCCTCCTTCTCTTCTCCATCCCCGTTCTCTGTTCGTACAGTGTTTGCCTCAGGCAGTTAAGCTAATGACTCAAAGCTGAACACGTTCCAAATACATTGTTTGAAGTCCGGTCTGAGTTACCAAACTTTGTTGAAGCGCGCATGCGCGAATTTCCAAGTTTCCAGGAGAAAATGTTTTCATTATTAAATGAGCGTGTATTCTCCCGGCGAGTAAGCATGTGTAGTTATACTAATGACGTTCGCTCTATAGATGACGACTTACGAAAATATGAGTAAATGATTAGATTTTATAAAAAAAAAAATATTAAGCCAACAACTGATGTCACATATGAAAAAGAAAATAAATACATTTTTCAATTTCTTGATATTCTTTTAATTAAAACTCATACCGGTTTAAAATTAAATTAAAATTAAATTATCTAACCGGAAATATACAGATAAAATCGACCTTATAAGTTTTTACTCACATGAAAACAAAAAAAAATTAATTATATGTTTACATTATTTGGACTATTGTCCTCATCTTTGTCGCCATATTTATTACAACGTTTCGGCCGTTGTACGCTCCGGCCTTCTTCAGGTGGTTGGAACGTCGAACTGAACCCATTATTTCGCTCGCTGGGGTAGACTGTTCTAGTTCCACGTACCATGTTTAATGGATGTCAGTTATTAGTTATCTCCTGTTAATTTCCCTCTGAAAGTTCTCCACTGCCTTAACCGGATATTGAACTCACACTCTGTGGGTCCTGTCACTGGATCTAACCAACGCCTTTATCTACTGTGCCATGAGTCCTTGAGGACATCTTTGTGTTAATTTTTTGGATATTATAAGCCTTATGTCTTCAGCAACCATTTTTACCAGTGCTCATATTGCATTTTTTTTATCGCTTTTCTCTGGCACTTCTTATTACTGGTTCTCATATTATATTCATTTCTATGCTTGGTTGGCTCAGGAGATTTTTGTGGCCTAGCATATGTGCAAAGATGAGGACAATAGTCTGAATAATGTAAATAATGTACATAATACCTCATCTCAGAAATATAGACAATTAAATATTTTTATTTTGCAGTTCGAATATTTACCTGAATATATAAAATATATTTAAAACATTTTTCAAATCTTCTATTATCATTTATTGTCTTATTGTTTCCTGATGAACGAAAATGTACAAAATTCACATCATAATGTTAATGTACAAAATTCACATCATAATGTTAATGTACAAAATTCACATCATAAAAATGTAAAAGAAAAATATAAACGACACCGTAAAAAACTGAGCGCATTCTTTCTTTTTCTTTTCATCTGCCATGTCCTTTCAGGACGTAGGCGATCATGGCTCTCCATCTCCCTCCATCCTTCGACAAGTTCCTTCCCTCCGCTACCTCCCCCAGACCATGTTCTGTCATCCACTCGCTTAAGTCCGCCAGGTATGTTACGCGCTGTTTTCCTTTGTCTCTCTTTTACACTAATCGACCAGTGAGTATCAGATTCTCCAGGCCCTCCTTCCTCATTATGTATCCCAGAAACTTCAGCTGTATAATCTTCCTCCTTGTTTGCAACCTCTCTAAGGTCTTTCTTACAATACTCGTAGGCTGGGAAAATAAACAAAGCATAGAGATACTTGGGAGTGTCCACCATGTGAGCAAAGATTGCCACTGCCAATCAGTCAGTGGTACTCCCCTCACCCAACATAAAGCCATACCAGTTTCCTCTAATACGAATACAGAAAACAATAAACCTATATATGTACAAAACTATATAATACATGCTATATATGCATACTTTCCTCTTTTAGAAGATATCCATTTAATATATTAGGTTGGTGCAAAAATAATGACGTAATAATGTCGTTTTTTAACGTATTTTTAACGTCAAAAACGACATTATTACGTCATTATTTTTGCACCAACCTAATATATTTATATGTGTGTGTGTGTGTGTGTGTGTGTGTGTATGTGTTATGGGGTCCTCCCCTTTTTCATATAAGTGGACTCGACCAGAGTGTTACTTGGACTGCTGCCGTTAAATACCCAGGGTCAGTCAGAATATAGAGAGAGAGTGAGCGGAGATTGTGATTGAGTTGGAGGTAGAGTAATAGTGTGAGGTAACCGCTTGTAGAAGTCAGTTGCAAGCACGTAGACTCTAAAGAAGTCCTACTTCGAGACTATATATATATATATATATATATATATATTATTATTATTATTATTATTATTATTATTACGACTAACCGGCGTTCCTGGATTTACTAACAATATACTCATTGTATTATTGTGTAAATGCATTTAATTTCTTATCTTTATTTCTTGCGTTTGTCATTCATTGGAGACCGAATTTCATCTCGGAATCCACAACTGTATGTATATATATATAAACCAAGGACACATACCTAATGCAATCAAGGTTCTTTAGAATTTCTGAAAACACTAAACACTCAACTTCTTCATGTCAGTACCTCTCGGAAGACAATGTTCTTAGTAACAGTTCACCTTCTTCTCCTTCCTTGTCTGTCTGTCTTCATTACCTTAACCCTTACATCTGAGAGTTTGTAATCTCTAGAGTATGCCACATATAATTGCCCTTGACTGACCACTGGCCGAGGTAAGAACAATGCCACTTTCTCAAATGTCTGCTCCTGTGACTTGTTAATAGCCATGGTATATAACAAACGGACAGGAAACTGGGTTCTCTCCAAGGTGAATGGCAAGTTAGAGTTGCTTGGAGCCAGCTTTATTCTGAGGATGACTGATAATTAGTGAACCACTAATCAAGGAAAACCTCAATTGAATCTAGATGCATGGTCACAACTTTCAGTCTTGTACCATTGTAGAAATATTACGAAGAAGCATTATTTTGATTTGGGGTTTAAAATCAATTTAAAGTTTAGAAAGAGTTTAGAAATTCAAGTGGGTAACACTCAGCCTCAGCAGAATCATCTATGAAAACTTTCTCTGTACTATAATAGGTGCATTTGTCACCCGGATGTTGTCTCAAAACTTCTTCATTGATCAGGAGGCAGTCTGAGTTCTTTGGCGAAAGAATTACTTTGCTTCTTCTCTCTTCTTCAAATGTAATGTTGCAAATATTATCCATCAGTGAGTCGTCAACGCATAAAATTGAGGCACTTCTATGTCATTAACAGCAAGATTAAGATCTTGTGAAGCTGCTGATGTTCCATTGCCAAGATGCAAGAGCCATGTTGCAAAATCCCTTTGATCTGCTGTTGTCCTGATGTTTTGGCTTAATCTGTATTGAATAAAAATCAGTCATAGAAGAGAATTTTTAATATAGATTTCAATGATTGCCTCACGACATCCTCTTGGCAATATGGGTAGGAATTGCTTAAAGTCTCTCAAGAGTACAACTTTACCACCAAAAACAGCTGCAATGCCAGCGACATCTTGCAAAGCTTTATAAATAGCATGATGAGCAAATGAAGGGATCCTAAAAACCTCATCCAAGATGATCAAATCCAGGTTTCAAAAATAATTTGCATGGTCTGAGGTGGCTGGCCTCCGTGAGCGTGACAGGCAATTTGAACAAAATTTCCACTTGACAGCAGTGTAGAGGCAATACCTGTCCAAGTACCACTGCACACGATGCAGTTGTTCCTTAGCAGATATGAAATTATGGTATTAAACATATAAGTTTTACCACAACCTCCTGGTGCATCTACATAGAAACAGGAGTTTGGGGGCACCTCACCTCTCCTCTTCTTATCCACAGATTCAAGCAAAGCATTAGCAGCCAGTCTCTGTTCACCAGTAAGTGTTGCAATGCTTGGGTGATTGAGGTCTTAATGCTGGTCAAGCTGTGGTACTCCATTAAGTTCAAGCAGCCCAATTGCTAAATAGTGCCATTTTCTGTCAGAATTGCATCGAGTGCAGTGCCGTATTTTCTGCATGGTCTGCATTAAAACCTTCATGCAAGAAATCTTCAAACATGTATTCTTTGTGAATGGTCCACAGGTGAAGAGCATTTGTCGGTTTCATATACGTGTACATGACAACAAACATAACATGCAACTCTAAGGACATCCGACAGGCAGCTGCTACTAGCAATACATTTTCCAGTGTGTCATCGTTTGAGAGAAGATCATATCTCAGGCATGCTGCCTTAAATATTAACAAGATTTCTCTTTCTCCAGTGTGCAAATCCTGGAATCTCACTCGCCTGAAATATGCAGCAGCAACATTCGCAAATGAAATTTTTCTGTACCTCCAGGCCTCACTGTATACATTCTACTGATGATATTCGTATTCCTTTGTTTTGGTGTCCTTCTTCGGGAGCGCTTATTAAAGACATAATGCAGAGGAATATCGGTAGAAGTAGCTCTTTGCATCACCATGCTCATTTCAACCACTTAGTGAGGATAGTGTCACGGTCCCTCTGTATCTCATCAGCTTGCTGAGCATTGCCTCTGTGAAAGTAAACTGTTTGCTGCTCTTCATGATGTACAGCAAGTCTGTAGACTTGTGAGATGTGTCATGTATCGTGAACTCTGACAGTTTGCACAAAGCTTCCGTAGGAGAAACATATTGGCAAGCAAGATAATTAGTAATTTTATCATGAGCTTGATTCGGCTCACGATGTTCCGCTGGGTTGTCTCTTACTTCAACAGAAGCACAGTAATGTCCCGTGTACACGTACTTGAGGATATATTTAATGCTTTTTCATTGATGAACAAATTTATATATTAATGTGGGCTCTGTACTTTATCATCAGGTAGGCATTGTACGGTACAATGTTCCTATTGTCAACTGAGTGACGTCGAACCTGAACTGTAACTCCAGTATTGCATCTTCTGTACTCTGGATAGCCATTTAAATTCAGAAGCGATTCATTGCTGTAGTTCTTTAGGAATTTATTTAGGCATGAGCCATTTTCCATGCAAGTCGAAGAAGGATTATTTGTTCCGCAAGGACTATGTATCATGCAAGATTGGATCATCATTGGCATCAGGAATTTCAACTGTTACGATCCTAACTATGTCATCGCTGTCTTATCCTCTGTCTGTAGAGTCTCATTCTCATATAAATGAAAGAACAGCATCTTCATGTTTAGATTCGTTTTATATTTTCTCGAATTTTAATTTTTTCATTTCAAATTTCTCCAGAAGATATTTCTACCTTCTTCAAATTTCTTTCTTTCTTTCTTTCTTTCTTTCTTTCTTTTTTCTTTCTCTCTCCAGTTTTTCCTTTCTTTCTTTCTTTCTTTCTTTCTTTCTTTCTCCAGTTTTTCCTTTCTTTCTCCTTTCTTTCTTTATTCTTCCTTTTTTCCTTTCTTTCTTTCTTTCTTTCTTTCTTTCTTTCTTTCTTTCTTTCTTTCTCCAGCTTTTTCCTTTCTTTCTCCTTTCTTTCTTTATTCTTCCTTTTTTCCTTTCTTTCTTTCTTTCTTTCTTTCTTCTTTCTCCAGTTTTTCCTTTCTTTCTCCTTTCTTTCTTTATTCTTCCTTTCTTTCTTTCTTTCTTTCTTTCTTTCTTTCTTTCTTTCTTTCTCCAGTTTTTCCTTTCTTTCTCCTTTCTTTCTTTATTCTTCCTTTCTTTCTTTCTTTCTTTCTTTCTTTTTTCTTTCTTTCTTTCTTTCATCAGTTTCTTGCTATCTCCAGTTTCATTCTTTCTCCTTTCTTTCATATTCATGCTTCTTATTTCTTTCCTGTTTTTTGTCTGTCTTTTTTGTTTCTTTCTTTCTTTTATTCGTTCCTTCTTTTTCTTTCTTTCTTTCTTTCTTTCTTTCTTTCTTTCTTTCGAGGTTCTTTTATCTTTTGTGTTTTGTATTTCTGCTTCTGTTTCTTTCATTCTTTCTTTATCCAGTTTCTTTCTTTCTTCCTTTTTTCTTTCTTTTTTTTCACCAGTTTCTTTCTATCTACAGTTTCTTTCTTTCTCCTTTCTTTCTTATCCTTCCTTTCATTCTTTCTTTATTCAGTTTCTTCCTTCTTTCCTTCCTTCCTTGCTTATTTTTCTTTCTTTTTCTTTTTTTTCTTTCTTTCTAATACATTCCTTTAGTTATATTTATTTCAATTTTCTTTATTTTGTTATTCTTAATTTTTATTCTCATTTAACTTCCATTCCCTTTGTCATATGTATATTTATTTTTTATTTAACTTCTTTTTCTCTTCGTTCGTTCGTTCCTTCCTTCTTTCCTTCCTTCCTGTTTATCTTACTTTCTCTATTTTGTTTTTTTCTTATTCATCTTTATTCCTTTCTTTTCTTTTCATTTTTTTCTCATTTCTTTGAATATAAATTTTTTTTCATTTTCTTTTTTCTTAAATTTTTCTTTCTTTAGTTTTTCTTTCTCATTCATTCGTATTTTTTTCATTTTGCATCTGTTTTCTTCCTTCCAACTCTTTTTCTCTCATCTTTCATTCCTTTCCTTTTTTTCCTTTAAATATTTTTCCATGACACATCTATTTCAGTCTAACTTTTCATACGGCTCGACTATGTTTGACTTCGCCGCCTTCCATCTCCAGAAAGGACACTCGGTTAATTATACAGTGTTATCTCCCTTGTGTTAAGTCCACTGCATTTGTCTGCTATCTCCTCCGCTGTCCGATTTGTATTGCCTTGAGAGTAAATGTTGCCCCGGGGCCATGTTCTTTCATTAGTACAGAAGAAAAAATGGTAAAAAACAGCATGTAAGTAAATAAAGGTAAAAAAAATTGCAAGAAAAGTAGAGATTTAGATTTCACGCCAACCTACAAGACTTGCCTGCGTTGTTTTGTCAAGGCGGTAAAAAATCCTTTGTGCAGCCGGCGTTCGGTTTGTTGATACGATTTAAAAGGAGATCATAAGAGTTTTTGATAGGAGTTGTGAAAATATGTGGAGTATGTATGAAGGAAACTTTAAATGTAAAAACAAATGAAAATGAGAAACATGAAGCGAAACACAAAGACCAGAAAGAAAGAATATAACATGAAAGTGGAATGACAAGAAAGTGGAACGACAGAAAGAAACAAAGAAAGAATACGAATAAAAAGAGACAAGAATAAGAAACAATAAAATAAAAGAGAGATGGAAAGTAAGAATAGTTATCGAAATATCAATATGAACCACCAAAGAAAGAAAGAAAGAAAGAAAGAAAGAAAGAAAGAAAGAATATGAATAAATTTAGACCAGAATATGGAACACAAAATAAAAGAAAGAAAGAATAGAAACAGAAGCAGAAATACAAAATACAAAAGATAAAAGAACCTTGAAAGAAAGAAAGAAAGAAAGAAAGAAAGAAAGAAAGAAAGAATGAATGAATAAAAGAAACAAACAAAGACAGACAAAAAACACGAAATAAAAGAAATAAGAAGCATAAATATGAAACACAAAGAAAGAAAGAAAGAAAGAAAGAAAGAGAAAAAGAAAGAATGAATAAAAGAGAGAAAGAAACAAACAAAGACAGACAAAAAACACGAAATAAAAGAAAGAAGAAGCATAAATATGAAACACAAAGAAAGAAAGAAAGAAAGAAAGAAAGAAAGAAAGAGAAAAAGAAAGAAAGAATGAAAGAGAGAAAGAAACAAACAAAGACAGACAAAAAACACGAAACAAGAAATAAGAAGCATAAATATGAAACACTAAGAAAGAAAGAAAGAAAGAAAGAAAGAAAAAAGAAAGAAAGAAAGAAATCGACCGAAGCACGGGAAATATAAGATAGAAAAACAAAAATAAGAAAATAAACAAATGCTAGACCAAAACAAAAAATGCTCCTGTATTTTACAACACAGAGACGTAAATGACTTCAGTCGAGAAGCAACATCGACTGACATGTTTCTGTTCATTGTCCATCATTAAATGAAATGTAATGAAAGCCTCGGCAACATTCATTGCTTTTTTCTTACAATCGCTTATTTCGAGCTAAAAGTATAAACATCAAGTAAAATGGCTGTAAATACCGAACACGATTTCCACCGCAATGTGCCATCTTTTTAAACATTAATTTAAGTAAAATCTTCATTTATATATGAGAGAATGCTTTGTACTTGACAAAAGTAGTTTCTTTTTACGGTTTCTTTCATTTTCGGGCTTTTTCCAACAGACATTTTTAACCGTTAGCTATAGAGACATTTACTAGAACTTGTCTGATAAAAAAAAAGAAATGAACTCTTGCTCAAACCATGTTTATTATCTTTCGAAGTTGGGTATTTCATATTTGATCTGTTAGTAAATATCACGAGTTTAAGAAATATTTTATTCTTTTTTTCTTCGATCCGTTTTTCGATACTTTCTTTTTACAAGAAGGAAAGACAAAATTAAACTACTGCAAAGAGAGATGAATATCAGCTGAAACACAGCAAGAACGATAAAAAGAGAGAGAGAGAGAGTCACAAGCTTAAGCATAAATAAGATAAGACTCAGTGGTCGGGGATATTTCCGATACCTTCGTAGTAATTCTGTTGTGGGTAATATTTAAGACGGATGTGCAGGTAGCGTAAAGATTATCAACGCTAGAAATGGAATTGCCTTACAGCGTTAAATAAGTGACAAAGTCTGTTTCGTATACTCTGCACTAATATCTAAATAGCAAAACAGATTGGGCTCCGGCAAATTGTTACCTTTCGACTCAAGTATAATTTCATTGATTAATTGGTTTGTTTCTTACATTTTATCAACCCTTGGCAGATAATTTAAAACCAAAAAAATATTTTTAGATTGTAAAAATATTGGGGACGGATAATAATTAATTGCTGATACAAATCCTACTATTTAACTCATAGGGGATAAAAAGTGGATTCATACTTTTCCGAAGAATATTTGCTTAAGTGAGCCTAACTGTAATTGGAACTTGGCTCACTGATCTATAGTTCCAAGCCGTTATCCATTAAAGTTTTAATGATTAATTTGTTTTATGGCTTATTAACCCATTTGCAGGTTATTTAAAGATAGAAAATATTTTTAGATTCTAAGAATTTTGGAGGGAGAAATAATAATTGCTTAGTATTACAAGTTTTACTAATTAACCCATAGCTAGGGGACTAGAGAGTTGGATTTATAGCTTTCCGAAAGGTATTTGCGTGTTAAGTGAATATAACGAACCTAACAAACATTGGAACATCTGCTCTCCGATTAACAATCCCGAGCTAGGAACCATTAAAACAACCATACTTCCAAACACATACCTGATATTTCCAAAGGGTCACCCATCTACGTCGTGACCCGATGTTGCTGAAAGATCGTACTGGTACCGGTGTTTAAACCTGATGTGGCCGTAAGCCTGTAACTACAATAATTATTGTCGACAAAATGTATTCTCCTTTTTCCAGTATTCTCCTTTTTCCAGTTTAATTGATTTACACAAACTATATCAATTTCGAAAAGTATCCGAGCTTTGTTTTCCAGCCTTTTTAATGCTGAACTGGCTTTATATAACCGTATGTACTTTTCTTATAGTTTCTTTTCTCGCCTGTGGAACTCTCTTTCTGTCACGTAAAATCTTCAAAAAATATAACTGCAACGCTAAATGCCATATTTCCTATTCCTGAATCATATTATTTTATTGGCCTTTCCCCACACTTCGGTGATCGTACGGGAACCAATGTTTCGACATGATATGGTCGTAAGTCGGAGTATATTTCTAAAAATAAATTCCGGATTTACATGCCACAACAGGGGTTGAAATGTCGTACAATATACCAACTGAACCCTATTCAATAAAGACAGTACGATCAGTGTTTAAATTCCGAACAAATTTTGTTCATGGGAAGATCCAGGGTGTCCAAAATGTTGTAATCTAGGAGAAGTTACTGAATGAGGAATAGCCAAAATGGAGGTTGGAAATGGAACGGTAATCTTTATAACATCAACAGAATACAATACTCGCCAGCGCCATGAAGTAGGTAAACCACTGTTAGTGATGGACTACTTAGACAGCATATTACCGATATTTACCTGCCTCCCCACGAGGTAGAATGTGGCACAGAGCCAAATTTAATGTGGGCTCGGGCAAAAATTGCCCGTAGACCCCGCATACGTGGGATCAGGTATCTGTCTATCTCCCCGGACAAGACTCTGCACTTCGGCATAGCCTTGTCCAGGTTCCACTCTGCCCAAAGACAGAGAGTTTGACACGGCAAGAGCTTCCAACGCTGACAGCTCACACTGCCAGCTTAGGCAACATATTGCCCGCCCCACTCAACTTACAATAGTGTCCAACGTATTTATGAGGATTGGGACATACCCATTAGTGTTCATAGGCACGGTATATAACGCCGAAAAAAATACATCATTTTAAAAGTAATTATCTTGAAAACTAAGTCTAGCTCAATAAAAGTGAACAGTTTAGGTGTTGAACATAAGTTTATTATGGAATCGATTTTATAAGTGTACAATATGTACACCGCCTGTGATACGGAACGCGTCAAGTCGGGAGTTAAGCTCTTTCCAAAAACGCTGTTGTATGTCTCCGGTAAAATTATCCATTCCGGAAATGATTCTCTGCTTGATTTCATTAATGCTAGCAGGAAGAGGAGGAACATAGGCCAGTCTCTGTTATACACTGATATTCGCATTTATTATACAGAGTGTTCAAAAAAATTCACATTTTAGAAGCAATTATCTTAAAAACTACTCAATGAATTTGAACAGTTTAGGTGTTGATCATCATTAGTTTATTATGGGACCGATTTCATAAGTTTTGAATATGTACACCGCCTGTGACACGGCACACGACAAGTCGGTAGTTAAGCTCTTGCTAAACACGTTGTAGCATGTTGCTGGTAACATTATCCAGTGCGGAAGTGATTCTCTGTTTGAGTTTATCAATACTAGCAGGAAAGGGGAGGGACATAAACCAGTCCCTTCACATATCCTCATAAAAAGAAATCACACGGGGACATGTCCGTTGATCGCGGCAGCCATTTCATCACAAATCTCTCTTCATCTCCACCACGCTCGATTCATCTCTCTGGCAGATTCTCATTGAGATAACAAAAATAAAACAATAGATATAAAATCTTGTTCTGTTTCTATACATTCTGTGAACATTTATGCTTATTTCAACAAGAATTGCGAAAATTATTGGTCAACGAAATGATGTCAAAGTTTTTGGAACACCTTTTATTTTGCATTCTTGGTCGTATAAACAATGTACCACGAGTTGATTGATTGCACGAGAATAAAGAGAACATTTCTACTACTGTTTGAAGATTTCCGAAACACTGTACAAGAAATTGAACCTCGAACCTTTATGCCAAAACCTAAGCGTAGAAGTATAGCAAACCCAGTGAAGATAGAACCCACTACTCAGTCGTAAAAAATCTAGCAAGACAGGCTTGTGAACCAGTACACCACATTTATGTTACTAAGCTTAGCAGTAAAAGGCACGTTGGAATAATGGATAGCGGCCCGGATTGAGGAATCGGAGAGCCGAGTTCGAATTCGAGTTAAATCCATTAATAGCCTTAGGAAAGGTATGAATCTTATTCTCCCCACAGCTATAACAGGAAGAGTACTGACCTGGCTCTACGCTGCTTAACTTCGGTGATCGTACGAGAACCGGTGTTTCAGCGTGATTTGACCGTAAGCGATTTGACCGCTTGGGAACACCTGGTATTGTAAGCCCCCAAAGTCCAACCCTTACCTCACAGTCGGTGGGGGGTGTAAACGGTAGTGTCAGAGCTATGCCGCCCGGAACTTCGTTCCTGGTAGGGCCACCCAAGGCGGACAGGTCTGACACACACGCCGGCTAACAAGGGCTCTGGTGAAAATCCAAGGAGCGTCTGCATCGGTAACCGGCGGCTTCTGGTCGTTCCTGTCTCTACGTCTGTGGGAACCCCGCGGCAAGCAAGAACGTTATCCGAGTAGGCCTGGGTACCCTACTTCTGTAATTTATCCCAAGAATCTTCTTCTCATAGCAGGAAGAAGCCGGCTCAATCCGCCCAGGGTGAATGCCGCATCAGTACAGTAGTAGTATAGCAGGAGGAGGACCGGGTTCTATAGTCTTGGATGACAACTGGTCAACCGCAGAAAGTAATGACAACCAATTGCGGAAAAAATCTGCCTCGTCAGTCATGTATCGAAAGATACATGATCGCCTAAGCGTTTATCACGCATGGTACATAACTGACTGAGTAAAAAACCTCAAGTATGTAATATCCAATGAGCAGCGAATTCGCTACTCAGTGAAAATTGATGTGAACATGAACGTTAACCATTACACCATATATAGGGATTTACTAAACGTGGCTTAGATGTTGCACAAATCTGAAGGTATTAAGCTCTCAATAAAGTCGGAACTCACTTCTCCTTTATGCGCCGTGTCCTTTCAGGTCTCTGGCGATCATGGTTCTCCACAACTTCTTGACCTTTGTCGCTATTAATAATTTTGTCTTTCTGTTACTTCTCCTAAACCTTGTTTTGTAATCCATTTTCTCAAGCTCACTAAGTATGTTATGCATTGTTCTCCGCTGTCTCTCTTGCTTTCAATCTGACCTATGAGTATCAAATTTTCCAAGCCCTCTTTCCTCATTATCTACTTGAGAAACCTCAACTGCCTATTTGCGATGTTAAGTATGTTTCCTTTTTGTTTCCATTTTCTCTAAAACTCCACCGTTGCTCATATATTCGGTCCATGGTATTCTTATCATCCTTCTGTAGAACCACATTTCTGTTGCTTCAAGTCTCTTCTTCATCTTCAACACTCACTGCTATACAGGAAGGCATATATGACTTAACAGTTTAGTCCTCTTGTCCTTATTTCTAGGGATTTTTTTATTCCTTATTCCTTAATTTGGTATGCATCTTTGGGTATTCCAATACGTCTTTGGATTTCAGTGTCACACTTTCCATCTTCTGTTAAAGCACTACCCAGATATTTCCTCATTTGTTTGATTTTTGACCACTCAGCTGTAACTGATGTAACCACAAGCTTGCTAATCATTACACCACGTCGAAGAGACCCCAAAACTTAAATATATGGATTTACTGAGTGTAGCTTAGATATGACACGAAGCTTAAAGTATTAAGCACCGAGTGAGGTTTAAAGTCACTACACAGTCGTAATTGATTTAGAGAAGACAATCTTGCAAACTATTACACCACGTCAAAGAGCCACGGAATCTTATACATATATGTCGGCTGTAACAGCAAAATTTTCCAAATCGTGTAACAGCAAAATTTTCCAAATCGTGTAACAGCATAATTGTATATTCAACAAAATGTTTAATATCTAAAAAAAAAAACTACTAAACTATTCGAGTTTAATTTATGCAGGTTTTTAGATAAAACGTTTAATCATCAGGAAAAGAGGTCATAATTACAACTTAGAGATAAAAAGACCAATTAGAAAAGATCCAACTCAATTCATAAGATGTTTGGCACGTAAGAGAGGAGTTTCAGCAATGACAGTCCAAAGAGCGGTTTGAAAATATATATATATAAAGAAGGTTAGAGAGGGCGAAGTTTGATCCTGAAATATATAATAATATAATTTTATATATATGAACTTTATTTCAATTCTTTAAGATTTCCGATCCCTATATATTAATTAATGATAAACATGTAATTTTCGTTTATGATCATTTCATATATTCTTCTGTTAAATTTGGATATATATTCTCATTGTTCGAGTAGATTCAAATAGAGATAAAAACCTCATTTCTAAGAGACAACGTTTCAAAGAATCTAACAATTGGACAATTTTACTGTTACACACGATTTGGACAAATGACAACCGGTTATATATATATATATATATATATATATATATATATATATATATATATATATATATATATATATATATAGAAAAATAATATAATCCGGTGTTCTCATAGATATTTTTTTTACAAAATAGTGCTCAAATAAAATTTTCTCTTTATCACATGATCTATCTCTCTCTCTCTCTCTCTCTATATATATATATATATATTATATATCTATATATGTTCCTTCTATATATATATATATATATATATATATATATATAAAATATATATATATAGAGAAGAGAAAGAGAGATTGTTAAATATATATTGATATATATATATATATATATATATATATATATATATATATATATAAAAGAGAAGAGAAAGAGATTGTTAAATATATTGATAAATGCGTACTTTTCCTCTATCTGGATAAAAACTATGTGGAACAGAAAAAACAAAGAAAGAAAAGAAGGGGGGCAGTGCCTATCTCGGCTCCTGTACAGGTGCGCTTGATCACCAGTTTTTTTTTCTAATAAAATAAGTTTTTAACACGTTAAATCGAAAATTTTTTAAGTCTTTCTGATGGTCTGAATTGAAAGGGAAGATCAAAGACGAAGCCCGCTAAAGATTTCCCATTATTCTAAGTGAGTCTGAAGATGCGCAAAAGTCGAGCCCTTTCTTGTCAATTTCTAGGTGTAGCCAGATTGCAAGTCAGGGACAAGGCTAAAAATCGGTTCAGGGAAAGCTTCTTTTTTTTTCTTTATGGTTTTTCTATTTCTATTTGTTTGATTTTGTCTTTTTTTGTTTTTTGGGGGTTTTTTTATCAGCTTTGATTCGTATCGTCCTATCTCTCATCATAGTCCTTTTAAGCAATATTTGATTTTTCTACCCAAAACTAATGCATTTATTTTCTTTAGAGACTGGCGCAAAATACAACCTCTTGGAGGACAATACACAAGCTGGTATTATGCATAAGAATAAAGCCACTACATGAAGAAGCTTTCGAGAAGCTTCAAAATAAATGTTTCAGATTGGTATAGCATTAAGTTTCCAAGTTTCATTTTTTATGATATAAATCGATGTAAACATCAGATTTCTGTTTGTAGGTGCATTTGTTAGTGTTGAAACTTGACTAATGCATGGAATAATAATGCAACACAAAATGTACTTAGAACAAAATGTATTGAAACAAGAAAGTGTACACAATATTTACATATAGTCTTTTGTATATTCCTGGAGAATGTGTTGACTGAGTCGCAGTCGGGCAGAGTCTCTGGTTGAATCTCTTGATTCCTCCCTCTCTTCCCGGTACCAACCATATTTATATGGTCGGTACTCCACTATGCAAATTAGGTGGATCCTACCACAACAGTTAGTTTGTTAACAAGAACGGCACGTCGCAGCGAGACTTTTGTCAGAGCATTAGTAAAAGACTCTAACTTGAATAATAACGCAATGCAGTGTAGTATTATGCCGAAATTTTATAACAGAAAGCTAGAGTAAACCCGAAATGAACCCACCGGCAGGTGGAAATCCAGCATTCACCTGTTGCCAGTGGCGATCCCTAGAAGTGAACACTTGTGGGCCTGGCTTTGCTCCATACGTGGGTGAGTGAAAAAGAAAACGCTGTACAGATTGATAATTAACCGTTTTAGAGAAGATTTGAGAAATCTTCGAGGAGAGATCACAGGAAGTGAACGTAAGGTCCACGTATCAGACAAGGAGTTCGGTGTGGCTGCACCACAGTCTGTCCGAAGGTAACTGACGAAGTATTGGAATGAAATAAACAGTAAAGTTAAATGTGAAAGATGTAAGTCTCGTGTTGTCAGCATTTCTTATCTTTTACTGTCGCCCCTGTTTTATTAATTATACGGTTGGCTTTAACCCAGATAATAAAGATTCGACTTTTGTATATTTGTATTCGGTTAAAATGCTGAAATGATGCATCACACCAATAGTGACAGAAGAAAAAAAAGGAAAATTGCTACTAAAAAGAATGAAACTTATTTTGCAAGAGAAAATAGTTTTACGTAGGCACGGTAGAGTAATGGATAGCTTCTCGGATTGAGGAATCGGAGAGCCGAGTTCGAATTCCAGTCAAATCCATTACATTCACTTACATGCTAATACCCTTGGGAATGTTCTTCTCCCCCCCCCCAGTTATGGGTAAATAGCAGGACAGACCGGGTTGTATAACCTTGGATGGCAACTAGTCTTCAGCAAAAAGAAATAGCTACCTACTGCGGGAAAAATCTACCTTATTAGTCATGTATCGAAAGGTACATGATTGCCTAAAATATGGCACATAACTGAACGGTTGAAATAAAAAATACTTACTCTATATGAAACTCGTATTGTTAACTCTTATTCACTTGAAATATTTTTAAATCACATTAACTTACAAATATATATTTTAATATGCCAAAAAATATTTTCAAATTATGATTTTCAAATTATCTGTGATTGATTTGTTTTCTATGGATTATCAACTCTTTGCAGGTTATTTAAAGCTAGAAAATATTCTGTGATCGTAAGAATTATTTTGGGAGGGATAATGGTTTAGTCATAAAAGTCTTACTAATTAAACCATAGCTGTGGGGGGAAGATATAGATGTATACCTTTCCCAAATGTATTTACGCGTAAACGAATAAACTAAATCAACTCTATGTACCGTTTCCTTCTCACCTAAACTTTGTCCAAGCTTCTTTTTACTTAAGCTAGTTAGGTTCCACGTTGTTTTCCTCTGAACCACTTGCTTTCACTTTGTCCTGTGAGTATCAGATTTTCCAAGTCTTCTTTCCTCATTATGTGCCCTAGAAAATCAATTATACTAATTATAAGTTTACTTTTTCTTTTCATTTTCTCTAAAAC